GAGAGACAGGGAGAGACAGGGAGAGACAGGGAGAGACAGGGAGAGGCAGGAAAGGTAGGGAAAGACAGGGAGAGACATATCTCTTCTGTATTTTTTTTTTTATGACCAATAACGCGATGACAGCTATTTGCCTGGCGCAAACGACACGAAGCAAGCCGCAGCCCACATGAAGTGAGCTAAGCGAGAGAACCAATCAGCATCGCGGAAAAGCGGCAACAATTAAATCTCTTACATGCCTTCTTTTAGAGAGGATTCATAGGACGTTTATAGAACGTGACTTTTTGTCTACTTGTAACGTTCTATTGAAGATTCACGGGAACTCCGAAGTACCATACGAGAATATTCTAGGAATATTTAAATATTCTCGGAGGTTATTCTATGAACGTTCATAAAACGTACTTGAGCTGGCTGAGTTGAGTCACCTTGATATTTTTAGTGGTTGCCAAAAAATGCGCGAAAAATGCAATCGGTAGTAAAATGGCTGTCAGCGACGTTGAAAAATACGTACGCTTCCACGTCTTATTTAACCGTTATAAATAATACTATTATAGTATTAGTATTATTAGTATTTGTAAACCTTGAATTTCAACAGGATAAATTGTGGAGAACATAGTTTTCTTTGAATCACATCGATATCTTTTGTGGCTGCCGAGAAATAAGTAAAAAATATGAGCGGCATATTTAAACTTGTATATTTATTTATTGTTTCATATTGTTCAGTTTCCAAATATTTTTTCCTTATAAAATTACACAGAACGCAGCGCGAGAAAGACGAGAATGTTGAGAGATGATTTAGCTTTGCGATAAGTTCGCTGCTAGCTGGCTTCGTGCCTACGTCGCGCGGTCCACTCATCAGTGGTGAGACAAAAACAAAGCGATTGGACATTTATTTTTTTGTAACTTACTATCATTGTACGGAAGTACAACGAGCACGATCTAGGTGCATTTTGTCGTTACCACCGCAAAAATACGCCTAACGAACTTAGTAAAAGCGCATTTTGTTAGATGGCGTCTCGAAAATGCGCCTAGCTCTGTCCACTGAAATCAGGCAGGTGGCTTCTTTCTACATCTGCAATTATCTTTTAATCAGAGCAGTCAATATTTCCTTTCTGATTGGTCAAGAGATAATCGTAGACGTAAATGCGAATGTAGTCACTAATTATTAGCGTGACAGGGCATAAGACCGACGGTCTTTAGTATTACTTTGTCGGTAATGACAATTTTAGCCATCATAGATAACTTAGACTAAATTCAAATCTTCTTTAGCTACAATTCAAGATATTTAGTGGAGAATCAAACTCTACCTTTTTCATAACATTGCTAGATGGCACCAGGTAGTCCGTTAATATTTTTTGGAAAGGAGGAAGAGAGAGAGAGAGAGAGAGAGAGAGAGAGAGAGAGAGAGAGAGAGAGAGAGAGAAACAAATATATATATATATATATATATATATATATATATGGTATGTATATATATATTCACATATTTTTCGAGAGAGAAACCTGGAGTATAATAGGACCGTAAGGCATTATGGACTATGGTCAATAACTATTTACAGAAATACTGCCAAATAATGAAATATTTTGCAATTATTTTTGTTACATGTCTCCTATTGTTATCAGTTGTCATATTATTTTTAGCTGAATAATGCTACAAAGTGTTTTATTACACATACAAATACATACATATATGTACAGCCAACGTCCAATATTATGTACAGGCAAATTCCAATGTTATATTTCAAATTAGACAATTCTGTCCTTTTTTTGAAAGTATATTCAAAACTAAATATATTAAAACTAGAAACTCAAATTATATACAATATGGTGCCGAATAGGCTTAGCACTAAAATATATTTTACGTCTTTCATATAATTGGAATAAAAATAAATTAGTAATGTATTGCAGAATACAAATTGGTCTTTATTAAAAAAATACATTAATATTAATAAAAGAATGACATATATACATAATGTCCCGTCACTACTACATTATCTCTTAAGGGCGGATTTCTAAGGTAATTTGAAGAAAAAAATCCTGATGCAAAAATGTCAAGATTATAATACTTTTTAAATTAAAAACGGTTAAATTTGACCAATTATATTGGCTAAAATATACGCGCTCAGGTACGATACAACACACAATAGTACAGGTGCATGCACATAAGTGAGAATTTGCATAAGATATAAAATTAGTTATAAATCTCTGAAAGAAACGTCATATGTGTGACAGCTTATTGATTCTCTTATTGATAAATGTATTATATGATATTTCATTCATAATGTTTTGATGAAATTATTATTATTTGCGATATGTTTATTTAAATAATAGAAAAGGCAGATTATTATTACATACGTTGTTGTATGTATGGAACTTCTATATCAATATTTGGAAAAAGAGCATGCATGCATTTGTTATATATATATATATATATATATATATATATATAATAAATAAAATTTATTTTAATAAATAGTATAGAGCCTAGGTACTTATAATTTTATTTACGATTATGCTGCATCATAAAGTTATGTTTTACAAATATAGAAATAAAGTACTTTGCATAAGGTAAGTTATTTTATATACTCTCAAACAATGAAAACTAATTTCACATATAAGTAAGTAAAGAGCTAACAACACTGTTCATATAATTAATGCGTATATCGCTTTATAAATCAATTATTATATGTTAGACTACACTTTTAAATATCTCGCATTTAATATAAGATTATTTTTGCTTAAAGCTTATCTGTTGTTCCACTATAGTTTTGTAATGCTGCATTAAGGGCTGTTTTATTACTTATACACACGTATAAATCCCTAATGCGATTGTAAAAATGTATTCGTTGTTTCTTAAAAAAAAGAAAGAAACAAATTTACAGATCTAGGAAGACTGCATAATGGAAAGCCAAAAGTCAGCCTCGCTCGTGGTAACGAGACTCCGTCTGCTAAATTTGATCGGTACGTTCGATTTGTCGCAGATCTCGACCCGATGATATTTGAGAAACGATATTATCCCTATCTTGATCTGCAGCAAAGCGAACCGCATTCCTGTAAAAATTGCGAAACGTGAATGTGTCAGCGTTAGTTTGATCATGATAAAGTGACGTAATGGTATTGTTTATCGATTTTTCATAATGGGCTTATCGAAACGTGTTGGACATTTTTGCGGATAGTACTGTGTGTACTGCGCGATATATTGTAATCGCGTCCTGCACGTTGTATAAATCTCTCCGCTTGCTTGGGCAAATTTGCGGATATCGTTCTCTAAATAAATAATTATTTAGGACGAAAGTTTCATTGGGATGTATACCGCGCATAATTCGGCATACGTGATCTCTCTTTCACCACTTATTAGTTAAGGCAACTGCATATTTAACGATAAATTAATGCGACTGTAAAAATACGTTCGTTCGTTTCTTAAAGAAAGGAAAAAACGATCTTCAGTTCGAGGAAGACAATGCATAATGAAAACTTATAAAATAATATCTATCAATTAATTTTATTGTATCGGTTATAATTAATAACTTTAACGATCAATTGAAGATAAAGAAAGTTACACGTCAGAGGAATTTAATGCGATGTTGCTTCGTGCTTGGATTAGTTAGTTTTGTAAACAGATATGGATGCGAGGGGAAGTAGATTCGTAGCGATAAGAATATCGAGAGTGGAATTATCGGATGCTTGCGAATTCTATTGCCGTATAATTTATTATTGACCGTCGCAAAATAATTCTGTTGTTGTTCTTAAGTGTAGCGATAATCTCTTTTTGGTATACACGCACAATGTAGCGCATCTTGCGCAATGTGGCAGAGTTGAGTCAGCAGATTATAAATTCTATACAAGTCGTTCGCCTAATCTGCTATATTCGCAATTATAATGCGACACCGTTCATGATACAACTATGGGCAAGTGAAAATTAACGATCTATTCAATAAACGATCGACGCAAAAGTCAAAGCGCAGTCTGAAGGATATCCGAAAGATTAGCGCGCTTGATTAATTCTTCTCAGGTCAGATAACGCTCGTTGAATTTGTAACGTAATAAACGCTAGAATGCTCAATAATGTCATTTTGAGTCCTTTTAAGATTTTCTTGTTGCGATTATTTCTGTTTCCTATATTTATAAGAAAAACTCCCTCATGACTTATTTTTTAAGTAGGACACACTAAAAAAGTAATAGATCAATGATATTGTGATGAATTATTTTATGATATATCTCAGATGCTCTTTCTTTTTCTTAAAAGACTCATATTAATTATTTATTAAATTGTCAGTGTTATAAAGGCAATGTATAAATACAATATATTAATAAACCAAATTCTCAAAAAAAGTTTATATACGACTATTATTTGAGATTTTGATTTTTTAATCTGAATTAAGTTTATATTTTATTCTGTGTCCATTCACCAATTTTTTTCTGCTAGTTATAGAGGGCAAATAATAATTTTGATTTTTTTTATTGCAGGTTATAAGTATTATAAGTTTGGAAAAATTATGAAAATTGTAACTCATTTACAATGTATAAAATATTACAAATTATATTTTTAGCATATTTAAGAGCATATTAATACGAATAACGAGAAGTAACGAGAAACAAAGATTTCAATAAACAAATCGCGAATTAAAGACTAGAATCACGAGAAGTCTAAATAAACCTTTTGGGCATCCAAAGGATCCATCAAAAGATTGTCGTTTCCGGGCATTCTAGTGTGTCAAAGTGCAGTTATATTATAATTTATTCAATTCATCAATATAATCGGTAACGGTGATAAAATTTTAATTATTAAAATCATCTTGATTGACTTACATTACATCGTATAGTTATGTTTACTTTCCACGAATTTTCCAAGAAAAATATAGATCGTTGAAGCAAACGAGAAATTCTAACGTTATGAGATAAGAAACAATTGTAATTCGATCAGATATAACAGAAGTTGGACGAGTCGAAGTTCATACCTATGCAGTTACGTGGTCCTTCTCCAAATGGAAGGTACGTGTAAGGATGCCTCGTGCGTTTATTCTCCTCCGTGAACCTCTCTGGATTGAATGTTGCCGGATTGGGATAATAATTCGGATCGTGATGAAGCCCGTAAATCGGTATGACCACCCGCATGCCGGCCGGTATCTCCACTTTGCTATTCGGTATCTGATACTTGTACTCGCACCTTCGCGAAAACAGCGGAGCCGGTGGATACTTTCTGAGGGTCTCTGTGTAATTTACATATTTATTATTTATTATAAATTATTATCTCACCAGGATGCGTGTGCTGCCGAAATTGTTTCAATGTAGGAAGATTAATATCTTCATTGTATCATGTAAATTTCCATTCTGTCAAAGTCAAAGCTTGAATAACCAACATTACAATAAATAAGTGCGGACAACTAAATACAATAAAATCAAGTTCGATTAAAAAGTTGCACCATATTTTTGACGACCAATACGTAAATTATCGAGAATAATTAAACTTGCAATATCATATCTCATACAGCAAAAATATTGAAAATATGTCCTAGAAACGTCCCAGAAATATATGATATCTGTGAGATATATTTTGGACATATGTGCTATATGAAATGATCATCGTGACAGTCAACATATTAAATTGAAGCCTATTTACTTTTATTTTTGCTTTTTCCTTTTTTTAAAGATCTCGTTATTTTATTATTTTTAGAGATTTTATTTTTTATAATAAAATAATAATATATTCTTATTTTTTATAATATAATAATATAACCCTTTTTATTATAATGTAATAATCCAATAATCATCAACGATGACGGTATTAGCGGATTTGAATCCCATCACAAAAATGTCATTTGACAAATGCAAGTTAAGTTTCACTAATTGGGATAAAAAATAAGTATAATTTTAATTAAATCAACCATTTTTTTCTCAATGTACTTGACGTCTTTAAATGGCAAAGAACGTACAAAATGCTATATATATATATATAAATACATACAGACTTGTAGGTTTTAAAAAAGACCTCTTGGCAAAAAGTTGGATTAAATAGAATTAAAAGAAGTTGGTATAGATTTCAGAATATCAAAATAGTTAAATGAAATATTGAGATCGAAAGTAAAAGGGAAATTTTGATTTTCCCTATCAATGACATCACTTTAGGCTCGTACCTAATATTACCATGTCGAGATATTTCATTTCCTGTACCGCCTTGTAAGTTAATTTTCCACCTCGTGCCTCTATAGCATTGCGGATATCTCGTCTGGTCCGTTCTTGGATCTCCTGGTTGAAAGCTAGCTCGTGAAGGCAGAACGCGATTGTGTTGGAGGATGTTTCATAGCCGGCGGCGAAAAAAACGAACGCTTGCGCGGCGATGGTGTTCTCGTCCAATTCTATAAATAATTTCACGCGATCAAGCCCGGAGAGAAGGCCTGCATTTGTTTTTCCACATTGCCTGCTCAAGTCGTACGTTTTTCCGTGTATAGATTCCGCGGCAACGTATGCGTTCGTCTGTTGACCAATATTATTTGAACGAGTTTTAATTACGAGTTGTAATTGCGAAGAACAATTTATCACGAGGATCTCCGAGCTCTTCGTATCGCTCTTATTTCGTTATTCTTTCTCCAGTACTGGGTAACATGCTTTGTAATAAAATGTGAATGTTTGAGTAACTTTATAATTATCTAAAAGTATAAAGCATTTATATGAAAAATTAAATGAGAAATGATATTTAAAGTAAATCGAAAAATTAAGTGAAATTAAAAATGAAATTAAATGAAAATACATGACTATCTAAACTTATCATTTATATTAGATATTCAATTTTTCACATTTCATTTCATTTCTCACATTTCTCACAAAAAGTAATCGATTTCTTTCATTTTGTATCGTAAAAATTTATTTCTAACAATAAAATATTTATCTGAACGCATATGTGCCGTTCTGTATAATTTCATAATTTCTTTTACCAAAAATATGACTCAGTTGCATAGATTTTTCTTATGTAATTCAATCAAATTTTTTAAATAGGGGAAATTTCGTGAAACAAAATATTCGTAAACCATTCAAGTGCCTTTGGAAATAATATAGTTTTCTCTCTCTTTCGCACCGAAGAGACCATTAGTTTACCGATTTCCTTTGCCGCTTGGGCGTCCTCTTCATTGTAGAACTGCGTATTTCCGGCTTCGTTCTCCAACGCGCCGCTGTTCTTCAGTTCGACCAGCAAATCCATGAAATCGTGCCTCTTCGTGCCATTTTTTTCTCTCTGCCTGATCATTTGCGAAACCACGTCCTTGAAGAACCTGGTGACACTCGGATCAATGACTTGCACTCCCAGCCACCTGTACAGCCTCGGCACGGCCGTTCGTAGCATCCTCCAGAGGGTGGCCTTGTAACTCGGCTTTGAGAGTCTCTTCGCCGCCCTGTGAAACTCGGATTCCTCGTTGGTGAGCGCATTTATCTGTATGCCGAAGGCGCAGCTGCCGATGACGTCGATGGTGAATTTCGCCGCCAGCTCCCGTATCTCGACCATAGTTCGATCCGCGTTGCAGCTCGCGTCGATGAGCTTCTGCAGCTCCTCGCCGCACTCCACCAGCAGGTAGAACATCCGCTTGAGTTTGCCCGACGAGAACGCGGGCGTCAATTTCGACCTGAGGCCCTTCCACTTGTGCCCTTCGAGATTGAACAGGTGTCCGGAGAGCGGGTCCTGACGTATACGCGAAATATATTGATGTATAAAGTGCGACGAAATTCACGTGTAACGTCAATCAATATATTATATCAAGAGAAAGAAAATAAGAACTCAATAACAATAATCTCAATTAAATAATAGGAAAAAGGGCTAATTCGAGTTTAAGCACAGGATTAATAGTGCTATGTACCATATGGGTAAAACCTTCCTTGTGTTAGGAAATAGAGCAATATCTATTGAACATGAATACTCAATATAAATAATCAAACGTTTCGGCTCAATAATGAACCCTCTTCAGTGATATAAAAACTCAAGATTTACAAAAACGAACGCATTACAAGTAAAAGAATTAATTAAAGACCTTAATAAATGTTATTTGCAGTATTATAGCTGACAAGACCGTTACCCGACTAATATTAAGAAGTTCAAATTAATACTGAAATCATTTTTCCTCAAACGGTGTTTCCTCAATTGGGATCAAGCCAAAGTTTTGCATGAGGAATATTATTACTTGAAACGCCTGATATCAGAAATGATTTACATTAAATTTCAAAACAATGGACTTAACTCTCAAAAGGACACAGAACATTTGGACAACGGCTACTGCGGCTTATTATGAAAATAAAACTCTGTTTGTTTCCTTCTCTTCCACGAGTCGTCGCCGCAATGTTAATGCTCGTGTATATAAATCTGTTATTATCTCTATTACTTAGACGTGGCGATATTATCGTTGACAGGATCGTTTCACTTTTAGCCGAGCTCAACAAAGGTAATTTATATTGACTGTTTTAATTATTTATTATATTTTAATCTTACCTATTTTTATTTTATGGTTTTTTTATAGTTATGACAGCTACTTCCTAGTATTAATTTGAATTTCTTAATATTAGTCGGGTAACGGTCTTGTCAACTATAATACTGCGAATAACATTCATGTCATTTTATTAAGGTCTTTAATTAATTCTTTTACTTGTAATGCGTTCGTTTTTGTAAATCTTGAGTTTTTATATCACTGAAGAGGGTTCATTATTGAGCCGAAACGTTTGATTATTTATATTGAGTATTCATGTTCAATAGATATTGCTCTATTTCCTAACACAAGGAAGGTTTTACTCATATGGTACATAGCACTATTAATCCTGTGCTTGAACTCGAATTAGCCCTTTTTCCTATTATTTAATTGATATTATATCAAGATAAAAAATAGCTGGTATGCAGGGGACAATAAATATGGCGAGATCTTGGAGCTAATTTTAAGAGTTACACTGAGAAGATGCCATTTTGAAATTTGCGTTTGATTTATTCAATAAAAATTAAAGTATTTGCATTAAAGGATTAAAGTATTTGCATTATGAAACGAGTTTTGTGAGACTTCAATCAAACTTACATTATATACACATTGAAATATTATCTAACTGCCCGTACAATTAGAAAAAGATTGATCATCCGAGAGCTAAGATATTTATAGTATAAAAGGTTATATAAAAAGTCGACACTTTTTATACGTGCTCCTTGAGCTTAGTGTGCTATTCTTAATTTCTATCTTTGATATCTTCCACACATGCACAACAACAACTATGGTAACTATGGCTACGAGACACAGTGTAGTTATGGGCGGAGGGAGGCAGCGAGCCGCGATTTGTATCATGGTCGCACCGGTGTGCCGACCCGAGCGCTTATTTGCTCAGACAAAATAATTAATTACTCGAAAACTATTGCGAATTTCGCAAATTGGTACTTTTCTATCCCGTTTAATCCGTTCTATGTTCCTACGATGTGTGTCAAGAAAGGTTATAAGAAAGCTTATACACACACACACACACACACACACACACACACACACACACACACAGAAATATACATAATTTTGTTCGATAAATTCATAATTGGCGCCCTTGATGCGCCATTAAAAATACGATAACTACGTTATAACTACCTTAAAAAAGAATCGAAAGTGTAATAAAAAAATAAAGAAACAGTTGCTGCGTGATCGACGCGAGCATCAAAGTCGTCGATCGTGAAGAGATGGAAACCCGAGCAGTACGTACCTGAGAGTTATTGATCGGAATTCCACGATTGGAGAAGCAAGCGAAATCCTTCACACATACGCTTTTCACCAGATCGGGATCGCGTAATATCAACACAGGTGATCTTACGCGAAATGCACCGAAGAACCTTTCATCCTTGAACCACTGGTACATCTCCTCGACGACTTCCGGTACTGACGTGCGGAACAGTAGCATAGAAGCGAAGTTGCCGACTAGCACAGTCGGCTTCTTGAATGGTACGCCGCGACATTCCCAAAAATTGAATGTCGCCGTAAAGTAAAGGTACAAGCCACCGAGGACGAACCCGACTAGCAGAAGAGGATGATCCAGTAACACTGTCGCGACGTCAAACATCTTCGACTTCTATTCGACGCACAAGTTTTTAAAGAAAAACCTTTTCTTAATTTACGAAGTTAAATACTTTATAATTTCACCTTTTTATATATGATGAAAAAAATCTTTAATTGAAACTTTTTATAACATTTCTGAAATTAAATGGTTCACAATATTCATGCACATATAATATAACGAATAATTTTTATAATGTTATTATCAGCAAAATAAACGATTTATAATGTTACACTTGCAATGTAAGTTTTGGCGGCGTTCACATACACACACACATATACATTCAGTTAATTTAATCGTTACAACGAATCGTTCGCCTCGAGTATCGACTTAATTTTGTGGAATCGTTATCGCAGCACGGCACACTCGTGCGGATGTTGGTTATTGAAATCTATTTTTAAATTTGTTTTACAAACGTGCACATTGCGACATAAAGAAGTATCGAGAAGGAGGATTATGACGTTTATGGTCGCATTGTATTTGCAGTGACAGGTCCGATTACACGTGAGCCTAGTCATATGTGCGTGCTCACAAGCGCTCGTAAAGAGCTGTTTAGCAGAGAGTTCAATGTGAGTTCATATTGCAAGCTGCTTATATTTTCACCAAACACTTAAACACTTTTCGCTTAATCACGATCTAATATCTATTGTGCAAGATCGAAATAAACAATATCATAGGTCAAGTATCAGTATGTTTAGTATTGTAATAGTAATAATAATAATCTGATTAACACACTAGAATTCTCGGTAACCTACCAACTCTTTGGGATGCCAGAAGAAGTTATTTTGAGACTTTTTACGATTCTAATATCTTAAAATTCTCTCTCTTTTTTTCTCTCTCTGTTCCTCATTATTTTGTATCAATAATGACTTTTAAATACGAACATAATTTGCAAAAATCAATGATGACTTCTGAATAAAAATATAATTTGCAAAATATAAACATATCATACATTCTAAACAAATTATAATTTTCATAATTTTTTTAAACTTATAATTTCGTACAGTAAGATGTGTCACAATTAATACTTATTTATTATTTATAATTTGTACACGGAAAAATATTATGGCAAAAATTACGTTAAAATTATATTTCTTTTCATAATGTTTTCTGTAAATTTGTGCATAACAGCTATAACAAATATATAATAATTTCACTCATAATTCTGTGTAGTACAAGATTACAAAAATTTGTTGTAATTTTTACTACAATATTTTGTTGGTATAAAAAAAACTAATTAACGAATTAATATAGAATAAAAGTATAAATTTAATCAGGATTAAGAAATTAAAAAATTTCAAATAATAGTTTGTATATTAGCCTTATACAGGATAGCCAATTAAATAAAGAGTCAAAACTCTATTTACTTACTCTCTTAGTATCCACAGTAAACAGTTACTTTTTCAGTGTGTTTTAGTCTAAAAATAATTAAAAGAGATAATCATAAGAGAGATAAGAGATCTTTTCCTTAAACAACGGTAAGTAAAAATGGTGACAATAAGAAGACCTTAAAGAAACTAAAATAACTTCATCGAGGATTTTAGCGTGCGTTAAATTTAATAAAAACAATCTACTTAGATTGTTTTCATAAAACTTATTTAGAATCAGTTAGTAGATTAGTGTAAAATGCAATTGTCAAATGCAGTGTTAATACGAAGCGCATGCGCGCTTTAATAAAACTATCATGTGCAAAGTCTTCGATGTTGTTTTAATGTTGTATTAAAATTTTTATAATAACGCATATTCTTAGCTAAGCTTTATCTAGGTTTTATCCTTGTTCTATGTATGAGTGTAACACTTCAAGTTCTGCGCATTTAGGCTGGCGACGACTTTTACTTCACTTACTACGTTATCGGCGTACCAATTGTTCATCAATGCACTTTGCCACTGAAAAAATGCACACTCACTAGACGCTCCACTTTCCACAAACGTAGATTAATGCTTCGAATCGTCTTTTAAGTCGTCCGTCGCGACACAGACAGCAGGTATACGTCGTCGCACAACACGTAGACACTTGTCGGCACGATTTTGTTTGCATCATTCGCGACTTTCCAGGTGCAACAGCCGGTGCAACGTCGTCGAATGGTTGAAGTGGGCAAGAGTGCGAAACGGTGGCCAACGAAGAAAAAAGAGAGAAAGAGAGAGAGAGAGAGCGGTAAGAGGAAGGCGGTGGGAGGAAGGCCGAGAACGATAGAGGGAAAAAGAAAAATAACGACGTGCGTCGTATCGTTCTCGCCGAGAGCCTGACCTCCCACCGACTGGAAGTCATGAACGAACGCACGCATTTATACAGACCTTGCGCTCCAACGGCCGTAACGCTGGGATTTCGTCATCGAGTCCATAGATGAACCGATATCCCTACATAGTTAAGTCGGGTTATCTTCAAAATGTTTCTGCTTCTCGTCGCCCCTTTTTTCGCCATATAATACTGGCTTCACTAATGTGAAAAATTTGCGTTGTATAATAACTAGTTACTCAGTTCAAAGTTAGAGTTTAAAGTAATTGTTTGAAAATAGAGAAGAGTTGCTGAAATCGTGCTGGTTTCCTAAATCGTATCTGATTTTTATTTTAGATGTTTGTAGCATATACGCACAAAAATTAAGATATAATCTGAAATTTTTTGTTTATATTTCTTATTTCTCATTTTTACTGTTAGATATCATTCAGGTTTAATAATAATCAAGGCATTGAAGAGGTATAGTTTAGGAGATCGGTAACGACTTCGCTCCTACTACTGCACCTAAAACAGCAGTTTGTTCTCTTTGTGGCAATCAAAACAAGTTGTAAAAATACATGCATATAAACTTTCATGGAAAAGACAAAAAAAAAAAATATATATATATATATATATTTTTTTTTTAAATCAACCTAACTCAATTTTATTACATTGTTACGACATTAACGTAAGTTGTCTAAAGATAAATTTTTTAAACAATGATTAGGTTTTTTGCGAGCTAGGAAACGAAGTTCTCCACCTTGAGCACTTGACATATACAAAATTATGATGATACAGGTTGTATATTTATATGTGTGTAGATTAGGTAAAGTTAGTTTTTTTTTTTAAAAAACTCCTTTTGCCTTTCTCTCCCATAAAACTTTTTATACATATATTTTGACGGCTTATTTTATTGATTATACAGCTAAAAAACTACGATTTCAAATGAAGTAGTACATCTAAATATTTACCAAGTCAAATTAAAAAATTAATAAGTTTTAATTCAACTTAGTTTCAGTCAACTTTTAATAAGTCATTTAAAACTCATCAACCTTAATTTATTAACTCTTTTTATATAAGTGCAAATAATTCATTAAACTATTAAAATTATTACGGACTGCTTACAATGTAGAATAAGAAAAATAGGAAATAATGTTAGCAAAATTTTTGTCCCTTTAGGCACCAGTATAACACTTTTCTACAAAACTTCCAGTACAAAACTTTTTTACAAAACAGTTTGTATTTTCTTATAAAATATTAACTATTCATTATTTCACATAAATTTAATGTACAATTAAAAAATTATCTATGCAAAAACATATTTTGCTTTGCATAATTATGTGATTATTAACTTTAATAAATTAATTAATTGTAATTCAACTTTCACATACATAATTAAATTAGTTTTATATATATAACTTTTAACTTAGCTAAGTTAATTTTATAAGCCATTAATTTTAAATTTAATTTAGTTAAAAAAATTAATTTGTCCAGCCCTGCTCAACCTTGATTTCTCGCGTAATTCGTGTTTTCTGTTTTTCTGCTCCTTTATCATTATAGGATCAATGAAAGAAAAGAGGAGAAAAGGAAAGGAAAAGAATAAAATTTTCACGCAATAGAAATCAGCATAGAAGAACCTCTATGTTTGCAATTTCGTCATTCGAAAAGTTTGTTTCAATTGTTCGGAAATTCCTACAATCGCGCACGTAATCTAATCGTTTTATGATTAAGATTATTACCCGACCGATGATTCGCAGAGCACGTAACTGATAGTTATCTTCAAAATACGATACAGTTCATTACGCGCTAGTAAACATGTACCACACTTATTTATTTTTTATGTTCTAAATCTAATTTTTTATGTTCTAAATTTTTATGTAATCGAAACAATTTACCGGAACTGAGCCTATCACATTGGTATTCTTTCCTCTCTCTTGAAACTTAATCGCCATTTCACGTTTTACATTACAATTATAAATACACGTAGAGTGTAGGAAATGTAGTCGGACTAAAATCGATCCACTCTTTCTCACTATGAAACATATAATTCGTTACACCAATAAAATATTGAGCGCGTCCGAACATTGCTGTAAGATTTAAACACGATATATGTCTCTGGCAGCGATGTATCGTAAATGAAAATAGATCGTGCCTTCGCGTTCATCCTTGCAACGTTGATCTCTGCAACGGGCACTTTGATGGAAACAGATGGCTGAATATGGGAAATTACGTGCATGTGGCTGCTGCTCCTTAGCGTGTTTATTCGACATGCACGTTTCCAACAGCGGAATGTGTCTTCTTTTCTATTGTATGTAATCTTATCGATAAAATATGACATGAAAGCAACGGATTAGAAGTTTTGGAAGTAATTAATTGCATTCTTGTCGCAAGTTTTTTTAACCAGCATATCTTATCTTTTAATACTCAGACACGTTTTCATCTCTAAATTTCGCGCACAATAAAATGCTTTCATTTAGAAAGTGATTTCTCAGGTAAAGAATATCGCAATCAAGATAGTTTCTGTATATCAAGATTTTGTCACGTAATTGATAAGAGACAGGCTTCATTATTTACACGAACGATGATGCTTCATGTTCTATCAAAGAAAGGTCAATGTGTATTTATTTTCAGAATTGTAGATTCTGTCGTAGATTTCGAGATTACGATGTGGATTGTTTATATACTGCTTACATGATGTATATATGGTCCTTTTTCATACAGAGATCATGGGAACATACTACTTAGAATTTTTTTAATTATATTAAAATATACAGAAGTGTGTGTGTGTATATATAACTGAATTATAAGAAAGTTACAGTACCTGTTTTGAGTATTACTTATAAATATAATATTTAAATATAATAATAAATTATAAATATAATTATAAATATAATATTTAAGTATAATATTTATATAATATTCATTGTGATAGATTGGTAGATTTAACTCTGAAAGTAAGAGAATTTTGTAGACTCTAACTTGTTTAGGAAATGTAAATAAATTACATCTGAATTTACATCCATAAATTATATCCATAAATTTATATTTGAATTCTAAAGCGATTAATTGCACATATAAACTGTTCTTGATTAATTTTTAAGTAAGCCCGCAAAAAAATTCATACTTATTAAAACTAACACGCTCAAATTTACAG